AGCTCTATCCTGGCTGAAACCAGGACATCCCAATAGGCCTTTTTGTTGAAATTTGGTATTCAGAATGGTATTGTAAGCCAACTGAGATCTTGCTAGCAGTGGATTGAGAAAAAGGAATACATCCATGACTTGCTAGCAGTATGCCTGTCCACACTGACCAGATATATGCCTTTTTTTGCACTTGTGTCATTCTCATGCAGTAACTGAGTCCTCTTCTGAGCTGCCATCTAAGTAACTCTTTTCCAATTCTGTATTTGTGTAGTTGATTATTTCTGTGTAAATGTACTATGTTGTGCTTTTGCCTGTGTCATGGTTTAGCCCGTTTAACTGTGTTCTATCTCTTCCAGGTGGTTTTTCCAATCTGCCAAGACAGCTTTGAATTCTAATCTCTTTGCATGTACTTCTGCCTCTTCTAGCTTTTTGTCATCTGAAAAATGAAATATTCAATAGTCAATTACCCAGTAAATTCTAGATAAAACATTGCAGCACTTCACTGAAATTATTTTGGTTTCATACAAACTACTCTGCAATTATGATTTTTCCAACTGTGTCAGTTCCAAGAATATATTCCTTTACTTTCCTTATGAGAAGTATCTTGAGAGCTAAGTTTCATTAGCGACATGGAATCATAGAATGATTTGGGTTGGAAGAGACCTTTAAAGCTTAGACAAGTCCAACTTCCTTGGCCATGGGCAGGGACATCTTTCACTAGATCAGGGTGCTCAAAGCCCCAGGTGTCAAGAGAGAACATGTACACTCAGTCAGTAGTGCATCTGGCTCTTCTCAGAGGGAACTTAGTTTAGAGGTTTAAGGAACTAATTTTAGAGGTTGATCTTGACATTGGTGTTGGTTATGACTTTCTATTTTCTTTCAGGTGTGTACAAATACATACAAATAGGTTGACTATACAGAATTCATCCAGGAAACAATGCTGAGGTGACTGGATCATTGTTTTCTCCTCCTGTTCTCAGCAAAATCCTTTCTGTTGGTTTGCACACAATTTATAAGAGCTTCCTAATGGTTACTTTTTTTCCTGCTTCAAAAATATTGTCAGTATCTTCAAAAACGTCACTAGAAAATGTGTGTCACTTTCTTTCACCTTCAACTTCACCTGCTGATGTAGCTGAAATCGCTGTGACCAGCTAGGTCTGTGCTTCGGCTGCAGTAGGTGCTCACAGGAAGGCCTGTCTGCTTGGTCTTCCTGATTCACTTGACTAAAAAAGATTCTCAGTATGATGAAGGCACCTCCCCTCAGTATTAAAAAATGCGGAGAAATTCTCCTTTAATGTATGGGATTGTAAAATAAGTATATACAATATATGGCAAACCCACTTCTCTTTCCACACTACCAGTTCTTTCCAAACCATCTGTACTAATCTGAGTTAATAATCTGCCCTTGTGGATAGTAGTAGCCAGTTTTAGGCTGATTGCATCACGTGAGTTGAGTCACATCCATGTTTGTTTCTTATTTTACTGTTAGTAGTCTGCTGAGCCTCAATAGCATCACTCTGTTTGCCAGCCTTTTGTTCCTCCTACATTGCGATCTCATCCCATCATTCCTGCCTCCTCGTCCAAATTGCAGTTGTTTAAAGGTGGCATTGAGCTCTGCCTATCTATCTCACTGATAATAGTTTAATCTCTCTTCAGTATATTTGTAAGCTGGCTAGGCAAGGATGTTCTTCCTTTCTCCTGTGAACTAAAGTTCACCATTGCGGGTCGTTGTGTGATCTGCATTTACATCGGGTTTTTGTTGTTGAAACCATTTGACAGTGTGGCACTTCCCTGTTATGTCTGCTATAGGCTGTTTTATGGAGGAAACTAAGATTTACAAATTATGTGGTAATTGTATACAAAGCTGTTGAAATTTTTCTAACTATCTAACAGAGGCCTTACTTCCTCTTCAATCATTAGTGTAATTTGAATAACAGTAATAGAAGACAAAGAGTTTAGCCAAAGGACTGTAAGGTGTGATGGGTGAGTTATTTAACAGTGGAGGGGAATTTAGTCACTGCTAGTACAGACTTGTATTAACTAGAATTATTTTGAACCTGTGTCATGGCAAGGTGTAATGAAACTTCTTACTATTTTATTAGGATTTTCTGTAAAGAATGTGCAAATGTTTACATAAGTATATGTCTGAATGAGTTGAGTACTGTGTAATTTCCCTAAATATTACAAGTCAATGTCATGCTTGCTTATTTAGATGTAGCAAAAATTTTTAAGCCTGTTTTTCTTAGGTATTTGCCTTTAGTGTTCCAGCTTTGGAAATAGTAATCACACATAATAAATTTTTAGTTTTAAAGTAAACAATTGTTTTTCTTTTCAGTTGTTCTGATTGGCTTATAAACATTTGCCGAAGAAAGAAAGAGCTGAAGGCTCGCACAGTGTGGCTTGGGTGTCCTGAAAAGTGTGAAGAAAAATACCCCAAAAATGCCATTAAAAATCAAAAATACAACGTCTTTACCTTTATACCTGGGGTAAGGCTACTAACCATTTTTTGGTGTTGGGCTGACTATATGTTCTGTAGTGTTTTTTGACGATTCTGCAAAAGGATAATTTTATTTGCCCAGATTCTTCTTTTTCTTCCTACATTTAACTGGATGTCTTTGATTAAAATTGACAGGTGAGAGCAAGGCTGCTTTTTTTCCAAATTGTTTTGTTTTCAAAGGGATATTTACTAAAGTGCAGTGTGTATGATTGAGTGGCTGGAATTCAGTGAAGCTTGAGAAATTTGAGATGGGTTTCCTTGCACTTTTCTATTCATCACTAAAAATTTGTAATCCTCTTTTAAAAACAGAAGCACTTCTATGTAGTCATTTGTGAAAGCACTGTCTTAAATTGAGAAATAAATAGTTGAAAATTGAAGTGTACTCACATAGATATTTTCTTATACTCCCTGCCATTGAAAGCATAATAAATAATGTATTCTGAAACAGGCAACTCCTTAAAGGACAGAAACAACCCATGTCCTCAATTTATGTGACAAGTAAGGCCTAGTTTAGTAAACTAGTACTTCTCAGAGTTGTATTTCTTATTGCAGTTTTAAAAATAGTGATGTCTTTTTTGTTTTGAATGCAGTTCTCCAGACAGTACTTTTATTGTGGAATGGAAGGGGTTTTTTGTCACTTTTTTTTTTCCTAAGAAGCCATATGATGTCTTAATTTAAATTTTTTGCCTATAATGGTCACAGTGTATATGAAGACAAGAGACATTACAGTTGCATCTAGTTTATACTTTCAAAAAAAAGTCATTATAATGTAATATAGCAATAGAGAAGACAACTTTTGAAGCTTCAGTAGTTAAAACCTAAAAACATATGCTGCTGTGATATAAATCTTATTAACATGCTTTTACTCATACTTTTACTAATACTGCCCAAGAGTCCTGAGTCCTGTGTCCTGTTGCAAAAACTGAATGTTTTCTATGTTTGAATGCAGACATGCTTTGTCTTAAATCTTTTATTTAAGTGATCATGCAGGTTTATAAGAGTATTGATTCTGTTCTTCTGGCCTCTTTGGTCCAGTGACTGGCAGGTGCTTTCTAATACATTTCTTTATTAAAATAATGGCTTTCTAATTAAGACTGATCTCCTGTCAAAGAAATAAAATGTCACTTATCACAGGTGGATAAAATATTCTCATCTCTATTGAACAAAGTAAATGTTTTCTTCCGAAGTTTAAATTATTAAATACACTGAAATTGGTTAAGCCACGTATGCTTTCCTAAAGGTCACAAAATTCATTAAGCATATAGTAAGCCATTGATTATTGTGACTAGAAATCTGCAGTGTAGATTACAAATCCTAAATTAGATTCATGTTTGCTATAGGGATCGGCCATAGCTTGCAATTACCTGTTGAGAGAGAGAATGTTTGTTCTTTTTGGATCTTTTGAAAATCTTAGTTTTTACAGTATAGGCAGAATCGGATTTTAATTTTGGTGGTAGTATTTGGAAATTCAGTAGTAACTTCAAAATGGAGTGAGATCCTAAACATAAAAGCCCAATAGCTGGTGAAAATGTTTCTAAGTTTTAATTTTAGACATGAATTAAGACTTTTCATTGATTAGAAATACTGTGTACCTATCTGTTTTTTATGCTGTTCCACTAAAAGTAATTTGTAGGGAACAGAGTTGTATTGGTTCCAAAGCCATAAATGTACCTAAGTCATATTGTTTCCAATGATTTACCTTGATTGAAATTTTCATCATGTGAAGTTTTGTCTTCTGTTTAGAGTTGTATCTTTTTTAATGTTGCAGCTGGCAATGGCTAATATTCAGTGACTTCATATCAAAATACAAGCTTAAAATAATGTTTAGATTAACAGAATTTTACTTACTGGCTAAAAGAGCTGTAACATTTCCAAAATATCATCTAATTTCCTAACATTTATATAAAATACTTACTGCTTCTACTTTACACCAGTTTGCTCAATTTCCATTTACTATTTCATACGCATTTTGGTACAGCTGCTTGGGAAGTTTATGTCATTTCCATAAAGAATATCTTCTCTGATGGGAAGGTTTTTAAGATACCTCTCCTGAACTTCAAAGCACTAGTATATTCTTTTAATCAGTTTTATGTAACTGGAGACTTTTCAATTTGCTTAACTAGACTGAAGTGTTTAGCTTTGTATTGAACAAACTGTCAGTGGTTTGCCAGGATTCAAAAGATTTGTAGGAAGGTGCTTTTTAACTCCCATCTTCCCCTGCCAGATAGGTGCTCTTGCAGTTCTGCACCTCCTCAAGTACTTGTGGACTTTTCATCGACCTGGTATATCAAGTCTTCATAAACAGTTAAATCATACCGCTAGGTATGAGTATATGAACTTCATCAGTATTAATATAAGGTACACATTCAAGCTGAATTAGTTTCATTTTGGAAGAATGCTCCAACTTTCCCTGCAACTTCAAATTTTACTTTTTGGCTTTACAGTTTTGTTGGTAAATAAAAGAAGAGACTTCTATGCTTTTGAAAAAAATCTTCTGATTTGAGGCTAAGTAGCCTTTAGCTGAACAGTGATGTAGTGCTCTTGCAAGAAACCTGGGGTGTTTTTTCAAAAACAATTGTGAGGTACTGCTACTTTGTTGTGCCTGCCAGAAAGACACTTTGAAATGAACTTCCATTAATTTTTTTTTCCTAGGGCATGGGTTTTTACATAATTGAGTAATAATGTTGGACTGATAAAAGCAATAAGTATCTGTCCAATAACTTTGATTTTTTTTTTTAATGCAGAAGTCATTGTAATATCAACTGAACTATAAGATTAAAAGATGGAGACATTCTTTAAATGTGGCTTTTTGATCTGTTTTGAATCTTTTAGCTCTGAAACAGTTGATTATTCATTTTCTCAAGTCTCAATATTCCAAGTTCAGTAGCCACTTCTGATCATCCTTCATGGAGGTGCCATATTATCCTGGCCTACTAAAGAAATATGTCAGGTCTTTGAAGATTCAAAGTTCTATAAAATTAATAATGTTCTTAGCATTGTAATTATAACTAAGGCAATGTTGAGAATGTGTGCTTGCTGAAGTGGTGCTTTTAATTACCAAAGGAATCTCTACATCTGTCATTCCTTTGGAATATGGACCAGTGTATTCTGTGATAAGGTTACTGTGTCTTCACTTAAAACTTGGGCAATTATCTTGGAGTTTAGACCAAACCTTTTGATTTATTAATAAACATATCTTACCTATCAATATTTACTGCAAAATAATGTTTTGAGAAATTTAATGCTGAGCACTTCTTCTAAATTACCTCAAAAGCCCATGTAATTATTTTACAATTTTTTTGTAGTTTAAAATTTCTGAAAACTTAAACTGTGGTTGCTTTTGTAAAAGCTTGTCTTGCTATGGAAACTGAAGTATACCGCCTTATTCCGAGATTTCCACACGACAGCCATTTGGAAAGAGAGCAGTGTCACTTACCTTTACTCACTGGATCTTTTCTGTAGTGTTAATTTTATCTTCCTAAACAACACTTACTCTTGAACATTCAGTAGTTTATTTCTAAGAACAGTGGGAAACAGTAATTTTGAAGGAGTACATCTGACTTGATGGTAGCCTTTGTCCCTTTGAGGACCAAAGGACTTCAGAAAGAAGGCAAGTGAGTTGTAGAGCTTCCATCCCTGCAAGAGGAGAAACTTCAGTGGCTGTGTTGAGGAGAGAGTGTGCTGGGGGAATGCAGTGAACAAAAGTAACAAGGAGTTCATGTATACTGTTTCCTGTATGTGCTGCAGACAGAGCTGAGGTTTTTAGGGTATTCTCAGTGATGCAGTTCTGTTACTCTATAGAAGTTCAAATGACAGAGGCTAGAATAATATTTTTGTAAATGGCTTCTGTTAATTTGATGCCAGTTACTTTTTTATAAATTATTATTATTAAAGACCAGAATATGGAAATTTTTAAGACAAAAAAATATTGTGAGACAGATAATACGGAATTTAAGTATTGGTACTTAAGGAAAAGTTAAGATTACTTTTAGTGCTGTATTTATAGAAAGAAAAGTTTTAACAGTTAAAAAGGAAAACTTAAAGATAGTCACAAACTTATTTTGCTTTGTTTATTGATACTATAAAAAAATTTCAAAAACTGTTTTAATTTATAAACATAAAGGTAGCTATTGTGGATATAACATTATTGCAAGATGTTTCTGCAAACATCTGAATTATGTTTACTGTTAACATTTCAGAGTAATCTTTGCACAGTGATCTTGATATGTATTTAATAATTGTAAAGATTGAGTTCACACATCCAGTTTTCAAAATACCAAAAATTTAGAAAATTGCTTTTTCAAAGTGAAGAGGCATTTATATCAAAGGATTTTTCACAACAACAATAGCAGTATAATATTATAGCTTATAGTGCATGTAGTAGTTTGTGATGATACATAGCGTATTGTGCTATATAGTACTATAATAGTACCATATATAACAGCGTGACATATAATGGTCTTGTATCTTCTACCTTGAAAAAGTGAATTTTATGTATGTTATGGGTACAAATTTTAAGGCATTTATCTATTTTGTGTTTTTCATTTTAGGTTTTATATGAACAGTTCAAGTTTTTCTTGAACCTCTATTTTCTCGTCGTGTCCTGCTCACAGTTTGTACCAGCACTGAAAATAGGCTACCTGTACACATACTGGGCTCCTCTGGTAAACAGAAAAATGCCATTAACTAGAAGTTTTGTTTTTTTAACTTCAGATGAAAAGTTCATGTATATGTATATTTCATAAATTTGCATCTGGTAAACTACAGTGATTAAAGTATGTAACAGAAGTAAAATGCTTATTTGAAATTACAGTATTTTGCGGAACATACCCAGAAGCTGTTGTTTGATAGCCCTCCCTTTCACCTGCCTACCATGTTCCCACAGGCTGGAGGTTGTTTTTGTTAACCAGCTAGTCTGAGTGAGTAGTGCTCCCTTCTGGCTGCTGGTCATGTGAGAGATTTAAAAAAACAAACCAAGCGAACCTCCAGCTAGTAGAGAACCTTATTTGGTAACATAAGTAATTTGTATGTTAAATTTCTTGCAGTTTATTGTTATTTGATCACTATTTTATGTTCTCAGGCTAGGTCAGAAGTAAAAGAATAATTTCTTTTCATTCCTTCTGTATCAGTTTTGATCATGTCGTTTTTTCACAAAAATTGAGATAAAATGTTTTAAGCCGTGGATAAAACAGGAGGAAAACACATCTTGAAAATAAGTTATTCATTAAACATACTTTTCCTAATTGAGTGCCCTGACAGTTGCACTGGCTTCCTTTCAATATTTCTTTTTATTATTGGGCCCTCTGTAGTTTTTTCTTGGGAAACTGTTGAAACTAGTTGCTTGTGACTCAGGTTTCCTAAGGTTTGAAAACTGTATTTTCTTCAGAGGCGGCCCTTGTGGTAGTCTGCCAGCTATATTCCCATGATTTGGAATTCTTTTTTCTTGTTTGTAACCAGATCATTACCTTCGCTTTCATCTTCTTCCTGGCCCCTCCAGCCCAGGTTTAAAAGCAAGGCAGGAAGAACTTTGCTTTATTTTCTAAATTTATAAAAAAATGGTATTTTTTGGTAGCATTTATTCTCGGTGGTATTCAAGAGGAATGTCACGCAGTGACATGCTGACTGTGTGGAGTAAAGGTCGTTCTTAACAAGTCAATAGAGTAAATATTCTGGATTGATTTCATTGTTTTAATTGTTGCAACATGTCTCCTTTTAAGTATTGATAAATGGAGACTGTCCTGGAGGTTCCTCACACCTCTATTTCCAGACAACTTTCAGCTTCTGCTGCAACAAATAACACTTCCAAGACAGAAAGCTTGTTCAACAGTGGGATTTAAATGGGTATTTACTGACCCAGTATGAAACGACAGAAGTCAGTCTTGTCTGGAAGTTGGTCTCTTCACAGTGAAGTGCTGTGTACAGCTCTATACGTTAGTGGGGTAGCAAGGAAAAAAATCGCTTAGCATCTCAGCTGATCTCATCCCGCCCAAAGAAGGGAGAAAATACTGTATTTTGCAAACTATTCTGTATAGATGTGTTTGTCTTATTCAAGGTTGTTTTTAATTATGTTTCCCAGTTTTCACATACAGTGTGAAAATACAGTATCTCAGATAGTGCTAGTGGTACCCTTTTTTGCTAAGCTCACAAGGTGTGTAGGTGTTTTTAGGTTGGGGTTTTTTTTGTGGTTTTTTGTGAGGTTTTTTTGTTTGTTTTGTTTTTTACTTCAACAGTTTTTACAACAAACAGACATAATATGCTTAGATCAAGCACTGGAGTTTTTCAAATGAGACTTTATTTCACTGGTTTGTTGTCATTTGCACGGTAGGGAATGGTCTTCTCAATTTTGAGTCCAACATACAGAGGATGTAGAGCATACAAGTTTGATTATAAGCAGTATGCTGAAGATATTTAACTGCTTAGAGTTAAGGAAGGATGACAGGTTTTTTGTAAGATTGGCTTCACAGTTTCAGCTACCCTTTGGAAGATTATTGAGTTCTTTTGAGCAAATGAGGAGAAAGGGAAACGTCTGTCTTAAATTCTTTCTCATAGTCATGGTCAGCTGTCCTGAGTCACCTGGCAAGGTACGGTGACCTCTAGGGGAAATTCTTGCAATTAACACCTTGCATTCTGTGCTTTGATTACTGTCTAGTTAGAGATATGTGCAAATGGCAAATATGTTTGAGGGTGCTTCAGGAGGGCCTTTTTTGTGCTGCAAAGATATCTATACTGCCAAAGCTTGTGACAGTGCTGCTGCCAGAAAAGGGGAAAACCCTTTTGCTCATTCGATCATGCCCTAGGAGTGAAAGGAATGCATTTTGCAACGGTGCTTTCTTGTTCTACATAGTTCTAATATAATTGCTGTAGCTAATGTAAACCTGAACAAATAAGTAGTATTTAACTATGTGGTTGCAACAGAGTAAGCCTTGGAATTTTGATCTGGAGTTGCAAAACAGCCTTTGCTATTGAAAAGGGGAAGTTTAGTCAAGACTTGTTTAGGAAAACTTTGTACCTTCACTCCTTTCTTATTGCTGGGAGGTTAGGGGAAGGTTGGCAAACTGTTGGACTTCTGCAAGAAAAGAAGTCTAATGGTACACATTTTCTTTTCTAGAAAGGAAGTATTGGTGGGTGTCTGAAGCTAGATAGTCTAGAACCTTATCTGTTGGAAGATTTGTGAATATTTGAATTTTGTAGCCATCTTACTTTTAATAATGGTAAGATCCCTTTACTGTTGAAAATTTTATTTCCCTTTTGCTGATGGAGGAGGACTGAGCATTTGAGTTTAAGCAGCCATAAGACCATATCTAAGGAGGTTTAGAAAGGGAGAGAGGAAACTCTTACGTACTTATGCCTGAGCTGTTTTGTATTCTTTTTAGCTTACCGTCTTAGTCACATGTAGTGCACTCTGTACTTCCAGAGAAGCTGCGGTGGCATTATCCTGTGAAAGTAGCAGCCAAAGCATTTAGATACTTAGTTTTTCAGAACAAATCCCCTTTGTCAATATTGTTGATGTATTGGTAAATAACTACATTTAAGATGGCAAAATTAATTAAACTAGCTCTCCGTTTACCTTTACATTTCTGTCTGTTAGGGAAAAGGCAGTGAACTCAACATCAGAATTGGAGACTTCTTAAATGTTTTTGGTAAAGTCCTAATTTTGTGGAAGGTAGGGAAATATCCTTACTGAACTATAAAGGCAGTCTTCAGCTCATCCAAACCATTTTATATTTAAAAATTTCAAACTACATGTATTTGGAGATGTAGGTATTCTAATTATATTTGTATAATGTACAAGTATGATTTTCCTTTTTTTTTGACTAAACAAAGATATTCTTTTCACAGATTGAAGAAAACAGTAAAATGCAAATGAGAAAAAAGTAAATATTCTAAGCACATGTTCTTACTCTGTATAGTGTTCCTAGTCGTGTATTTCTGTTGTAGCACTTTGAGAATTCTGAATTGCATAATTGTATCTTTAACAGGGGTTTGTTTTGACTGTCACAGTGGTACGGGAAGCCGTTGATGAATTTCGGCGTTACAAGAGAGACAAAGAAATGAACTCACAGTTATATAGCAAGCTGACAGTACGAGGTTAGCAAAACCATTTGTATAAATCCTTGAAATGGTTCATCTTTTTGTTACATATACATTTATAGACTTCCAGTTCAAAGAAATAACTAATAGTCTCAAGCTGCACTATTCAGAATGAAACTGATACTAAACTAAAAGTGCTTGATTTCCCTCAGATACATACAACTGTTAAACTTGATCTGTTTAAGAAGTGTTGTAAATCTTTTGTTGTTTATAAAGAAAGGTGTATGTATATAATTGTATTTATATTTTTTAAGCATTCTGCTGTTTAGTAGATTACTTCAAAGGGCAGTTTTCCTCTGAAATTGATACCAAATAGTAACTCAGCAACACTGTCAGCTATGTATCAAGTGTATATAGGAAATAAGGGATCAGTAACTAAGAAATACGATCTAATTAAAATTCACCAGAGCCTTTCAAACTTGGTGGATATATTTGTGCTTAAGAAAAGGAAGATATATTGTGAATCACCTTCAGTATCAAAAATACTGATTTCAATTTTTGCATATAATTTGAAATATGTATGTCATGCAGTAGGAACAGCCAGTTTTCATTCCAGAAATTAATAAAAGGAGAAATCACAGTTAACTTTTTTGACTCAAAACCTTTGACACTTTTTCATGAAGCCTTCTAAGGAAATGAAGCACTTCAGCTGTGAAGTGACAATTAAATTTAGTAGGATATTGTAAATTTTAAACATGGGCATAAGAGAAGAAAACTATGCACTCCTCTCTGCTTTTATGTTGCTTAGCACATTCTATGTGGTAGTTCTGAAGCTAAACAGTAAAAAGGTGCCAAAAAATAATAACCTATTATCAACTCGAAACGTAATGAATAACCTTACAAAACAACATGACCTGGCTATTACCCTCAAGAGTTATTTTGCTACAATATCCTGGGAGCTGTTTGTTAAGGATTTTCCTTGGCATAAAAGTTCTAGAAAGTGGGAAGTTGTTAAGGAACGTGAGGTTGCGTCTCAAGCAGTTAGAGTACATGGCATACACTGTGCCAAGTGTAAATTCTGATCACTAATTCCCAACAGGCATTTCACTGCACTTTTTAGTGTATCTTGGTGAATATCTTCTGAGACTCAGTGGGAAGAGTAACCTCACCAGATCTGGGAGTCTTAATGAGAAACTAAACTCTTGGAGTAGCTCTGGGTAATGATTCTCTGCAGAAAAAAATGGATTAAAATCTTGTAGTGTAACACAAGTATGTTCTGCCTGCAATCTTGCCTTCCAATTACTTTAAAAAATGGGTCAAGTAAACAGGCAGCAGTCTCATTTGTGATGACAGCCTAGCAGTGGAGAGGAATTTATACTGCTTCCTCACAGTACAGAGACTTGCATTGTTTTCTGGAGTTTGCATGCAGAAGGGAGCAACTGTAGGGAGAATTTGCCTATTGTTCTTCCCTTCCTTGCTAGCCTGAAATAGCTTTACCAACATTTAGAGGTACCACTTTGGAAATTTGCCAATGGGACAGCTATTGTTTATTTAACAGAAGTGGTTGCATTGCTGGCCTCCAGACCTCTACAATCTTTAATACAATTTATAAAGAAATGGACTCTTAACAGCTCTTCAGAGTTCTAATTTGACCTGCTAGTTGGTATATTAATTTTTTAGATCTGCTATGGTAGGCCACTGAACGCTTACCTTTGAAATAGATAGTACAATCCCTATTCAGCAATAGTGTTGATAATCTGAAATTCGTAGTTCTGGAAGCACATGTATAGTTTATAGTTACTAGTGTGATGTAAATGCCACGACTCACATATGCTGTTTTAAGAGCTAAGTTTGGTGCCCTTTGTGCTTCTTTTTTCCCTTGTTTAGAGTTAATAGTAGAGTTTCTGGTAAGTTGCTAAGCATTTCAGCAGCATTTAAGTAGAAGGTTTGGAATCCTGATTCCTCTTTCCCAGCTCATGAAATATTTTGTGAGGTTATGGGTATTTAAGACTTTTCATTTTGTAGTTTCTCCTAGGAATAAGGAAGTTGCCAAATTAAAATTGGATTTGGTCACCTTGACACAGCTGTTTTCTAGATGCAGAATAGAGATTTAAAAAAGAGTGTACAACAGGATACAGGTAAAGCCCAACAGTTATAGCAGGAACTGACATGTAGAGAGCAGTGACGTGTTCAAAATAATTTTTAAAAATGCCTTTTTTTTAAAAAAAAAAAAAAAGGATGTCAGCTTTTACCCACAAATGTGTATGTCTATTTCAACTTTCAGGTTTTGGTGTCAGTGCCATCATGAGTTCATACTTGATTTTTGTTCTGGTTTTGTGATGTTTTTGAAGACACTGATACTCTACAACAGTAAAGATTAAAGATCTCTGCTTTCAATGAGCTCTGAATACCATGTTGACAATGGTATGATCAATGAGCTAACAATGTTTTGAATTGTGGCCAATTTTAAGAATGAAAACATTATTGCAGACCCCACTCATAATTAAGCTGTACTAGAAATTGCCACAAACACATATATAAAATAATGAATAGATGATAAATTACACCTTTTTCATAATATGGGGTTCTTTCGTAATAAGGCATTCTGAAACTGAAAGGTATCATTTTGAGGCAAAGCAATGGGACTTCCTGCTATGATAAAATTAGTCCAAGATTTTTACAGGTTTTGAGAAGGATTTAGGTATTTATCTGTGCAAATTACTAAAGGCAAGTACTACACTTCTGCAAACTATTTTTGCAAATAACTCTTAATATAATCTACCTAATTTTTAATACTGGAAGTACTCTTCAAGTGGAAAAATTCAGTTAGGCTTACTATACTAAGCTGCAGGCTGATGGTTTGGAGAAAGAAGGCTTTGTTACTTGTGAATGAACAAACTTGATACTGATTTAATTAAAAGCCTGAAAATCGATGCCACTCTTAAGAGTCACTTTTCAGAGTAGAACTGCACTTTATACTGCGCTAGCATTTTTTTCTTAGTTATTTTATGACTTGTGTAGGTTTTACAGTCTTGTCTTTGAAATAGGTATTTTTTCAATCTCAAAGATGGAGAAACTGACATAGAGAGGTTAAGCAGGTTGCCTTTGCTCAAAATGGACAGTAGGAAAACTTAGCTAGCAAGATCCAGTGTTACCCTTGCTTTAATTTTACCATTTAAGGAAGATAAAAATGATAATTTAATCACTCCTAGTTAGTTGTTTTGCAAAATTGTTTACTTTAGGGAAACAAATGTATTTGTAGCAAGAGAAGCTACTGGGCTTTGAATTGTGATTAATTGCTTGTGTAAAGATAGTGTGGGTAGGCTGATCTGTAAGTTAAAATCTTTTTATACAGTGTTGCAACAGATTAAAATCAGGTATTCTTTGACTGCCTAGCAGTGCTGGCTTTCTGTGGAGTCATTAGCCTCAGGAACCCCTAAACAGGTAAAACATGTGAATATTGTCTTATGACCTGCATGTTGCTGGTGTAAGTAGTACTAGGTTTTTGAAGATGAATTCATATTAGTGACTCTTGAAGACTTAGAATTTCTTTTTACTAATTCAAGACCTTGAGTAAGTATTAGTTCTAATCAGTAAGTCCTGGCTTTTTTATAATAATGAGCTGTTCTAAGCAGAAAATCAAGGGAGAACGGGACATCTGTTATAAATATTACTTAATTGTACTTAGGCAGCAATGGGCAGCTTAATGTCTGTAGACTAATTCTGATCCATGAGATATGCAGTGTTGTGCAGTTTTCTATCTGTCCTGTAACATGGCAAAGCTCGGTCTTCAGTCATCCCTTGGTGAATTTGCTATGTGTAACTTTGCACTTGTCAAGAAGGTGAACCTGCTGCATGTAGAGTTTGAATGGTTTCTACTTTTTCAACCCCTTGTGGCAAGTGATGAAACATGCAAATCAGTAAGTGTATTGAATTTTTCTGTGAGCAAGTCAGTTAAGTGTACCCATCTCCATGTCTTTCATGTGAATCTTTTCCCTTGAATAGGGATATACCTAGATTATGGTATTGAATCTCTTAAGTTGATCAGTGTATTATGTATTCTGCTGTCTTAATATTTTTATTGAGACTTTTGCAAAATCTACTTTCCTTTTTTACATATCAAAGTCTGTAAATACTAACTGAAAACTGTCTATTAAGTATGCAAGTTAAAGTTGGAGGGAGGAAGAGTATCTGCTTGTAGAATTGAAATTATCTTGCTGTTGAAGATCCTGTCAATTTAATTGCCTTTTTCTGCTTCAGAGCAGCTCACATGTATATCGTTTTGTAGAACAGAAACTTCAATGGAAAATACTTTAGACCTGTGCATGCAGGTTTGGGAGGACTTCTGTTTTTCCTTCCTAAGGGACCATTACACTTTTGGCACAGCTTCTTGTCTCATGCGCTTAGGTATGACCAGTTAAGTGCCTATGAAAAAAAGCTGCTATTTTGCAGAAGAATCACCTCAAGTTCACGAAAGGGCTATTATCTCTTTCATTAAGCTACCAAAAGGCAATTGGATAATAAAATTGTAAAACAATAACTTTTTCCCTTCCCATTCTTGAAGTTTGCAGTCCCACCCTGAACTTTCCTAGTTAAGTTTGCCCATGCAGAGCTTTGAAGAAAAAAGATCAAGAAGAAAACTATAATAGTCAGAACTGCAAGTTGCACAAGAGGCATGCATCTGTCACTTCATTTCAGGATGTTTAACATGATTGTCAGAAGTGTTGCAGAACTCAATCTCACTTTGCAACCTGCAAAGCAAAAGAAAAAATTAGTATCAGGAAAGATGAGATTAATGAAATAATTCTATCTAGGTTTCAGTGTGAAGGACTTATGCCTTTGTTGTATCCTTAAAGGGTGTTTAAGAATGTAGTGAAGTTGAAAATACATGCTAAAACTGTGTGAAATTAGGAAAAAAAATCAAGAACAAAGCATAAAAGCTAGCATGCTTCCTTTAAAATTGGAGAACTGAGAAGTCTGTTTTAGAGAACTAGTGATTTTTTTTTTTACTTTTGAACTTCTGTTTATGCAATGGGAGCTGCTCCGTTCCTAAGATGTCACCTTACTGAGCTATATCTTAAAAGACCTTTTTTTAAATTGCAAAATAGTCTCTGAGGCAGTCAGTTTTCAATCATTTATATCTATGTTATCTGCAATTTTAAAATAAGATGTTTGTCAGAATGTCTCGATTACTGTGATATTATTCTTTTGCAGTTATTTGAAATCTGTATTGAAACATCTTAAGACATTAGAATTTCAGCTCTTCAAAAACAGGTTGTCCTTCTGCTTTTAAAAAGCCATAAAAAACTTCCACATTATTTCTGAATCTACAGGTACAGCATTAGGTCTTTATTGCTTGCAGTACTTCAAAACCTACCAATGACTTAATTCCTGGTATTTGGACCATTAGGGAACAGATACGTTTTTAAAGAACTGTATCCATTTAATCTAGCGAGTAGGGAAGCAGTAAGCAATAGCAGAAATAGAACTTGAAATTCTTTCTTACATTAGAATTTCGAAAAGGGGCCAGAAGAGAGGAAATGTCAAGGGGACTGTTTTCTTCCACATTTTTGCAGCATCTGGAAGATTGCATAAGAATGAATGGAAGCTTTCCATTTCACCCAGGAGGAGATAGTACACAGAGGAGAGGAGCTAGGAAGTTTCTCTTTAGAGTTTTATATTGGTGATTAAAGACTAACATCAGTTCACTATGTAAGATGGAGTTTGAAAGAAGGACCTACTCTGAATGCAGTACTTCATACAGTACTCAAGGTACCATTGTAAGACTCAAGGTACCATTTGTAATAGCAAATTAAAAATAATTTGAAAATGCTACTTTCAGAACTTACTGTTCTTTCAGGAGTGGCTTGCACTCAGGTGGTAGACACTTTTTAATAAAAAGAAACAAAGGCATTTCTGATATACTATATACCCACATTTTGTTTACTTAATTTCTTAAATTTTTATGTGAAATACTTGGCACATATGAGATATTTATTAGTTTTTCAAATCATTGCAATTCATTTCGAAAGGCTTTATCTTGGGAGTATAATGAATTACTACAGACACATTTCAATGTTCCGGTTTTGCATAATTCTATATGTTGCTTTAGGCGAAAGCCTTGCGCCTTGGTGGACTATAAAGTCTGGATGCGCAGCCACTTCTGACAGCTTTGGACTTTTTATTGGTAATTACACAGATGGTGAAGAGTGTTTTGCTACAGAGATTTTTTAGGGAAAAAATAGTTTGCAAAAATAATTTATGCAGTGAATAACATTCAGTGTCTTTTTTCTCTAAGTGCATCCTCACTAAGATGTAGTATTGCATTATTTTAATGTTCTCTGAAATGGTATCTAATGATTCTCATTTTTGCTAGTCTCAAGGAAAGTGTTACTTGTTGACTTTTCAAAATTTTAAACTCTTTGAATTACTGCCATGTTTTACCATTTAGTTTGTTAATGGAATATGTCCTGCCATTCAGATTCATCATAGAATTCATTGTCTTGTGTGTCACAGACCACTTCCTTATGTGTGGGGATATACAGGATGCTCTAACAAGACATGTTAGTGTATAATAAAGATGGTATTCTGTAGTGTTATACTAAGCCACACAGAAAACAGTCTAATAAGGAAACTTCTCAATTCATAATGTACAACTCCCAGGATTGCTAGACTGAATACAAGCAAAGGTGCAGTGTGGCTTCCTGATGGTATACTTGGCACTAGGAGTCTTTGTGTTCTGTCTGCCCTACATCATGTTGCAAATGACTGTTTTACCTTTTCTTGTCTCTGAGGCTCAGTGTCTTTTTATCTTTACTGTAGATGCTGTTAGAACATGACTGTGGAAAATTCAATTGTTTATATTAATAAAATTGCTTGGTTTTGCATTTGATTAGTATTTCTGAATGGTTTTGGTCATACATGACTGTGTAGGTGGTATAGATCTGAGACTTAACACAGCTGGTACTAGGATTTTTGTGGCTGTTATTACTATAATCAGTTGATTGACTTGGTTATCACACTGAAACTGATGAAAATTGTTAGTGGAGGAACTGAAAACAAAATAGTAAATGCTATCCTTTTGGTAAAGCTTAGAAAGCAAAGTAAACATTATGATGTTTTTCTGTTCAAAACTTGAGAATTTAGTCTGCTTAACTGTATGAGTAGAAATATGTTCATTTGGTATCAGACTGTTCTTTTAATGGTTGAGCTTTAGTATTAGTTAATTTAAAAAAATAAAAAATTGTTGAGAGATTGACACAAACTGAATTTCCATAGGTATCTTGAAACTCTGTAGGGAACTCCTAATGTTTCTTGCTACAGCTTTTTATACCTTGGCCTTCTGCTACTCCACCCTCACAAATGTGTTATGGCAGAGTTAGGAGTCAGACTGAACATGCAATTTGTTTTATATTTGGTGGCAGAGAGGGAAGGTGTTTTTGGCAACTGAAAAAATGAGCTGGTGTAAAAAATTGTTATCGATAACAAAGACTTGCTTTCAGAAATAACTTTGCAGACAGGCCGAACAAAAGTTTTGATTTTCCTCTGATACTGTACATTTTAGAAGGGCTAATGTCACGGAAAATGTATTAAGAGTTAGCTATAGGACATTATAACTTCGAGACGATAGAATGCCCATTGACAAATCTACTATTCATATTTTCAGTTAAACTCCAAACTTATTGCTGTTCATCCTATGCTTTTGTGGGTCTTCTGTTCTAATTCGTTCAGTCAGATTTTTATTTAGAACCCTGGCACCTACCATGTTTTGACATACTTGTCATCTGATACCTGCTGATCAGATACCTGCTGCTTGGAATCATGACAGTGTTTCTGATGGGAAAAGGTATTTCGTATGGGTGTGTGTGTCAGTTCATCAGGCTGTGTAAATCTGTGTTTATATCCTGAGTTAAGAGGTTCTGAATTTATCACCTGTTATATCTTGGAGGAGGATATCTGTATGTCAATGGCTACAAAGTTGTTTTTATATTTTGTTTGTTTTTAACTCAGGGAAGCAACTTCTTGGAATTGTAGCAAGGGCCTGGGACTAGAACTCCTGAATTCTGAGATCAACAGTAACTCATTTTGGGCAGCAACTTAACCTCTCTGTCTCAGTTTTTCAGTCCTTCAAATGAGAATGTTACAACTTAACAGTCTTGCAAATATTAATACACTATACAACATATAGAAATTAAATTGGTATGTGTGCTGTGTATATTTTTGAATGAGTTGTTAATGGCAGTTACTGAATGGGCATCTGTAGAGAATAAAAAACTTCTATTTCAGCTTTTGATATTTTACTTCTCTAAAATGAAATCTTCAGGCATTTCTTCTGATTTTAGAGAGACTTACCTCTTTTTCCCATTATAATTGCCAACAAGTGTCAAACAGTGCCAATTACATCAGTGGCCAAGCAAAGCTACCTGTTGGTAACTGGGATGTGACTAACAACTCATGTGTGTGAGAATGCTCCATGACTGTAAGCCTAACAACTCTTAACATGTCAGAAGTAGAAGTGCTGTGTAGTAGGAGACGTGAAAGACTCATTTTTTCCAATTTTACAACTCCATTATTGATACCATAGATCAGACTTCAGCATCTTCCATGCATATTTTTTCCGTTACTACTTCTACAATTGCTAACTGGTTACGGAACTAGACTTTTTTAACCAGTGGATTATTTATTCAAACAGATGAAGTCTATTTATTAATGTGTTAATCAGAGATCCATTTTGTATAAAATGTAACATTTTCACCAAACAATAATATCTTTAAGTATAACTTGCCTTCTGGGATTTATATTCTTGTGACTCTTTATTTTTATATTCTTGTGACTCTTTATTAATGTCTGCCTAAGTTGATTACATTTCTTCTTTTTTTTTTTTTAAGGTAAAGTGCAAGTTAAGAGTTCAGACATACAAGTTGGAGACCTCATCATAGTGGAAAAGGTTGATACTTTTAAAATATATTTTACACTAAAAATTATTAACATGCTGATTATCTTCTGAAGAAAAGTATATTGAGGTACTTATCTGTGAAGTGCTAACTAGCTAGTATTTTAGTTCAAGTCTTATTTGAGAATCTTCAGGGAAGTCTATTTTTGGATTAATTATAAGCTTAATTGAATGTAATCATTTGTATTTTATGAATTGGTATATGCTTAAATTTACCTGGTGAAGGGCATACAATTACTGAATTAAATTCTCTGGCTTGTGCTGTGGTGAATGTTCTAAACTTATTACTGATACCTTCCTTATGCTCAAATCGGTGTTTTTCTATGTCTGAAGCCTTCAAGGATAAGCTTTATTTATATATATATA